CCCCCCCCCTTTTCTGTGATATAACTCTGTTGATAAAACTTTATATAAAGGTCAAGTATGATAATACCTCAAATGAGCTCAAGTTTCAGGGACAAGGTCACTGTTACTATTAATAGAAATTTCTACAAAATGACACGGTGCCTCGGAGTAGGATGCATGTCTTAGTTATGAAATATTGGATGTAGAGTTACAATAAATTGTGTTTAACAAATTATGCATTATGTAATAATGTCTATATCTATATTATAAAGTTCCTCTATATTGTTAAGTACCTGTCGTTAAGAATCTTTAATTGTAAGGAGACTTTTATTGCAGAGTTGTCAGATGATGAGCGGACACTAGATGAGATTATCCAGCAGTCAGAAGACAACGTGTGTACAGTTAAAAGGTCCCCACACAAGTCTCCAGCCCTTGGTCGACTTGTCCCGGGCTCCCGAGGTAGACTCACTGTCCGCAGACGAAAGCTCCGCTGTAAAAAGTGTCCAGGCTGTCTGGCCAAGGATTGTGGCAAGTGTCTGCATTGCCAGTAAGTTAAAAACAATTTGTTGATAACAGATTTAACTCATTCACTCCTGAAGACACGTTTGAACTCTTCCTATTCAAAGCTTGGAAAAGTCCATTCTTAAGTTTTAGGGGAGGATGAGCTAAGTTCTGTGGAACATATCATACTTCTGTTGTGTGAAGGGGCCAATCATAATCAAACAGTTTACCCTTTCACCCCTATGTAACATTAGTAAACTCTACCATTCATTGATCTGGATGAGTCCATTTCGGTCTACAGTGGTGAAAGGGTTAATGAATATATTCTTGTCACAAAGTCTTGATATAATGTTTACGTGAAAAAGAAGATGATTGCTTACTGCAGAGACGAAGTGGCACTTATTTAGTCGTCACGGTGACTATAAGTGCTCCTCATAAGTACTTAATAGCAGCATGGCAACTGAAGGGAAATTGAGATCTTATGTATAAATACTAAAGTAACGTTTTATCTAACTTGTTTTTCTGAGCCGTTTAGATGGCTGGTATTAAAAACCCACTTCGACCACAGATTGTGTTGACTTATATGGTTCTGTGTTATCGGGTATTCAATGTGCACTAGAAAATTATATGGTTCTGTGTGATCAGGTATTCAGTGTGCACTAGAGAATTATATGGTTCTGTGTTATCGGGTATTTAGTGTGCACTAGAGAATTATATGGTTCTGTGTTATCGGGTATTTAATGTGCACTAGAGAATTATATGGTTCTGTGTTATCAGTTATTTAATGTGCACTAGAGAATTATATGGTTCTGTGTGATCAGGTATTCAATGTGCACTAGAAAATTATATGGTTCTGTGTTATCGGGTATTCAGTGTGCACTAGAGAATTATATGGTTCTGTGTTATCGGGTATTCAATGTGCACTAGAGAATTATATGGTTCTGTGTGATCAGGTATTCAGTGTGCACTAGAGAATTATATGGTTCTGTGTTATCGGGTATTCAGTGTGCATTAGAGAATTATATGGTTCTGTGTTATCGGGTATTCAGTGTGCCCTAGAGAACCATATGGTTCTGTGTTATCGGGTATTCAGTGTGCCCTAGAGAACCATATGGTTCTGTGTTATCGGGTATTAAGTGTGCACTAGAGAATTATATGGTTCTGTGTGATCAGGGATTCAGTGTGCACTAGAGAATTATATGGTTCTGTGTTCTCGGGTATTCAGTGTGCCCTAGAGAACCATATGGTTCTGTGTTATCGGGTATTAAGAGTGCACTAGAGAACCATATGGTTCTGTGTTATCGGGTATTCAGTGTGCCCTAGAGAACCATATGGTTCTGTGTTATCGGGTATTCAGTGTGCATTAGAGAATTATATGGTTCTGTGTTATCGGGTATTCAGTGTGCATTAGAGAATTATATGGTTCTGTGTTATCGGGTATTTAATGTGCACTAGAGAATTATATGGTTCTGTGTTCTCGGGTATTCAGTGTGCCCTAGAGAACCATATGGTTCTGTGTTATCGGGTATTAAGAGTGCACTAGCGAATTATATGGTTCTGTGTTATCGGGTATTAAGTGTGCACTAGAGAATTATATGGTTCTGTGATATCGGGTATTCAGTGTGCACTAGAGAACCATATGGTTCTGTGTTATCGGGTATTCAGTGTGCACTAGAAATGTTTGTTGTTGTGGTGGTGCTCATGTATCATTTCTGTCTTCTTGGGTATTATGTAGTAGGACGATGAATAGTGATAAAGAAAGTGCCGTCGCTGGGGCTCAAACCCGCGACCCTTGGCTCTCCAGCCCGATGCTCTACCGCTGAGCTAAAGGGAAATTCCCTACAGCTGACGCTTGTAAGGCAACCTAATCAATGAACATCTTTTACAATTATATCTTGTACTAGAATTGTTTGCTGTTGTGTTGATTTACCCTATGTTTAACCATCTTTAATTCTACCGTAGAGTTTTGCTTGTTTGAGCCCTTTTGATCCATTTAATTTCATGTTTACTATCCCTTATTTCTGTTCCTTTTATCATCTCGTGCATTGTAAATACTGTAATGCTACAATTCATACATTCACATTTACCCTACTAGGCTGTAACTCATAGCAACTTGATGATGTCACAGTTATTCTTTATTGTTCTAGTCACATGACCTTTATTGTCATTGTACCATAGTTGCAAACATCATGTTACTGTGCTCTGAAGACGGCCTCCCTTTGTCCGAAACATGTCGTCACTTACGATGTAATTCATACATTACACTTTTGTACCGGATTCAGTGGTGTTGTTGCTCATCATTTCTATTTTCACTTAATTACTTCTGTGTATTCGGGACATCACAGGTTCACGTTTCTACCACAAAGTTACAATGATTGTTTTACAGGGACAAGCCAAAGTTCGGAGGACGTGGAGTGATGAAGCAGGCTTGTGTGTGAGTATAAATATTTTATTCTGGGACCAATGTTAAAATTATCTGCCATTGGCCAAAACCATAACAACATAATGGAAGGGGAATCAGGTGTGTGTCCACTGTTCAATCTGTTTGTATGATTGATTGATTGGTTTTACATCTGCTTCACTACCGAGGAGTTCGGTTATCCAGCAGACGATCTGTTTGTATGATATCTAGGTGCTGTATAGCGGGAAAAGTTCGCTGCGGTTAAACTTTTGCCTTCTTCGCCAACCCCAATTGAGGACAAATTTATCAGAGGCACGATAGTCTAGTGGTAGGACGCCGGGCTCATGACCGAATGATTGCTGGTTCGAGTCACATCACGGCACTGTGTTGTATCTTTGAGCAAGATACTGTGAGTGCTGAAATGGTAGCACCGGCTGCATGCTCCCCAGGGAGTTGAGAAAGATGTTGGCTGGTTGCAAAGGCCCTATAACCACGGATAATAATTTGTGAACAGCTTTGAGACGACCTACAAACTAGGTTGTGATAAAGTGGTATATAAGAACCTCAAATTATTATCACCATTTATTATTATGACCGCGAATACTAGTACACAACATAACAATGTATAATAATTACATGCAAATTAACTCTGGGCAAACATAGATTTGATTGGCTAATAGCGAATACTTAATTGGTAAAAGTTAGAATTGGCTATTAGCTCTATCACTCCAATGTTCAATTTCAGTTTTATATTCTGACTTCTGTTCCATTACTCCAACACTAGAAGTCTAACAGTCCCCAATCTTCTGTTCCATTCCTCCAACACTACAAGTCTAACAGTCCCCAATCTCCTGTTCCATTACTCCAACACTAGAAGACTAACAGTCCCCAATCTTCTGTTCCATTCCTCCAACACTACAAGTCTAACAGTCCCCAATCTCCTGTTCCATTACTCCAACACTAGAAGACTAACAGTCCCCAATCTTCTGTTCCTTTACTCCATTACAAGAAGCCTAACAGTCCCCAATCTTCTGTTCCATTCCTCCAACACTACAAGTCTAACAGTCCCCAAGCTTCTGTTCCATTACTCCAACACTACAAGTCTAACAGTCCCCAATCTTCATATATTTCTGCTTCACTGACTTTACTTAGACTTCGCATTCCCATTCTTTGGTTGGACTTTGCGTTTAGTTCCTTCAAAGTGGGATGATATACATTGTTTTAACCCTTTCACCCCTAGGTAACTTTAGTTGACTCTACCATACACTGATCTAGATGAGTCTATTATGGTCTACAGTGGTGAAAGGGTTAAAAAACATTTTCTGTTCTAAAAAATGCCATTTAGAAAGTCTGAAGAATTTTCGATAATTTTAAAGAGTGTAAATTGTTGTTGTTCGGCAGTGACAGGAAATGTGCATTCCCTCGGTACTCACGGGCGGCCACGGCAGCCTTTATCAAACCGAAGGACCTACCGCCAGACAGTGAATCTTGTGAGCAAGGATGTGACATGCTAGTTGATTCGTCTGAACAATGTGACCCTTCCCAGAATACAATGGGATGTAGCAGTATCAATCCCAACACCAAGAACGGAAACGGAACAAGCTCCAGCATGAACCTGATCAGACGGATGGTGCTACATAGTCAGGGAAATGCTCGTCCCGAAGCAGGAGTCAAACATTCCGGGGACTCAGAATCAGGGATCAGGACGCCTGCAAACATCAGTCGGCAGTTGCTGCCTCACTTTAGTGGAGGATTGTCCCGAGAAAACTTGTCACAAAAATCTGGACGCCAGAGTCCGTTGGTGCCACCCTATCGTTCAGGAGATCCCTCAAAGAAATCGGGACTAAGTGTGCTGTCACCAAAGAAATTACCGAAAGGAAAGGACAGGGTATGTATGAGTGTAGGGGAAGATACTGTACTGTATCACAAAATGAGTAAGGTTGCAGAAAGATAATTTGTGAGTAATTTTTTTATTCGCAACAAAATTAAGGTAGGTTAGTACCAAACATTTTAGAAAAATTGATATAAAATTTCTTTGTTCATATAAGGTTTTCAAAACTTAAAATAAAAATGAAAAGAAATCTTGTTAAAAATATTTTCGATTTTCAAACTCTGCATTTTGAAATTAAGCCTTAGATTTCCCTTCAGCACAAAAATACAGGAGTTGTAGGGAACTGATACTGTGTATTTGGTGTGAAGTTGTTGATTTGTTAATTTTTGTTTTTATAGAACCTGACAGTACTGCGGTCAGAGCAGTGTGTTCTCCAGCCATTACCGTCCACCATGAGACACTGGGCAGGCTTTGGGTCACAGTGCGGGTACAGAATAAAGGCTGAATACAAGGTAATGCCGAAGATAATGACTAAAACTATGGCGAACAATAGTATAATATATCACAGGTTTTTTATTGGTCTTACTGATTTATGCAGAAAAATCACAGTAGTGGGCTGTCATGTATACTGGATATAAGTTGCCGAGACTTCCCATTTGATGTTGTCAGCACTTGAATTTCGATTACTGTTATAGTCCGACTAGTGAAGAATTTAGGAATCCATCCACTGGGGTAGGCTGCACTTCTCTGAACATTTAATAGCGGATGTTGGATCTCATTCCCCCTTGAACAAGAAAAATAAAACAGTGAATTTGAAATATCTGCAGTTGAGTGACATTTTTCATTACAGAGATGTTTGGTGAATTATAAGGTGGAGCCTTATGAACAAATCCATATTCAAACCCTTGAAAACTTGGGTGGTAAGATATAAGATAAGTGAAACATGGGAGGAATGTTTACACCGTAAAATTATCATAAAAATTAACTGCTGGCTAAAAGTGATCAAATCTATAGCAGGTAGGGAGAAATCATTATCTATCATTGGTCAACTCTATAGCAGGTAGGGAGAAATCATTGTTCATCATTGGTCAACAGAAGTTGTTTCTCGTTTCAGGAGAATTACGATATTTACAAGGCATGGCAGATGGGTGTTCCGCTTACGATGTCGGGGCCGCTCTGTGTCCGTACAGCATGTTATCTCTGTGGCAGTGCGGGTAAACACGAGGTAAGTGTTGAAGAATATCATCTTTAACTCATTCACCCTCAAATTTCATAATGAGCTATTCCAACCTTTGAAATGGAAGAGTTCAAATGTTACTGCAGGGGTGAATAAGTTAAAGCTTTCTCTCGATAAATTAAATAAGATGATCAGGACTAGAAATTAATTTTGAATACTACTGGTCAATTAGGATAGTAGTTTCAAGTTTTAACTAGTCCATGTGCAAATTCCATTGATCCAAAATAATTCAACAAGATATGCAAAATCAAATTTTGATTAATCAATCAGGCTAGCAGTTTTTAAAACCACTAGTCAAGCTAGAGATTTCACTAGTCTCCGACTATCAGGCAACCCTTATAGTCTAGCCACGATGTAACTTCATTTGTTAGTTAAGAAAAATGATGCTGTAATCAATCAAATTCAATGTTTTGTCAGATTGAAGTCATAATGAAGATGGCAGGGTTTTTATAGATGGGAGGATTTTTCCCCCCCAGAAATTTCTGAATTTTCTCAGTGTCTTACAAAGCTTGAATATGATTAGGCCAAAAAAAATTCTTATGTTTCCGCTATCATTCTCATAAAAACTTGATGAATGTATAGGGAGAATGAATAAAACAATCTTAAATTTAAGGAATTCCTTCATCAACAACCCTGCCGTCCTGCCCAGATATATTGAACACTATAACTGTTATATCCCTGATGTTGTGACTCTGTTTTCAGTTTGTGTTCTGTAACGTTTGTTGTGAACCGTTCCACGAGTTCTGTCTTGAGGAAGATGAACGTCCAACTGAAGACAACTGGGAAAACTGGTGCTGCCATCGTTGTCAGTTTTGCCACGTGTGTGGGGAACAGTACAACGTGAGTTATCTCCCTTGCACATCCATCTGATTCAGTTTAGTCATTGAGCTGTCATGCTTAAAGTGTAATTCTGTAGTGATTTTCAGTTCAAAATATACCTGTAGTTTATTTTAGAATCGAATTTGTAATTTTGCAGTGAATTTTAGTTCAAAATATACCTGCAATTTATTTCAGAACTAAATTTGCAATTTTGCAGTCATTTTTAGTTCAAAATATACTTGTACCATTTTTTTTCTGAATTGCTTGTACAGGGACAGTGGGAAGCTGTTAATTACAGTTGTATGGTGTGGTTGTAATCCACTTTCTATCAACTATTTCTTTGATACATGTAAAGTACATAGATCTTGTGCCTTCCCTTGTACAGGGACAGTGGGAAGCTGTTAAGGTGGCTCGACACATCGTCATCAGCGTCCATTTTCGTGACGTACTTCCGGAAAAAGTACAGCTCGGACTCAATTATCTTGATCGAAATGTGCATGTACACCGTGTCGTCATTTCCGTTTTGCGTATCGGGTATTCAATATCGTAGTGCAAATTATAGTAACACCTGGGCCGTTTGCGTTTAAACGGTCAAACCGATCGGACCACTGTTGTTCGTTTATTAAATAAGGTAGGACCTAGTTATCTGATGTTGCTTTCAAGCGATCCTTGAGAAAGCCTTGCAAGTCTTGCATACACATTTGTAGGTCCGCCAGGATTTATACCCGGAATTGTTACATTTATAAACGGTCAAACCGGTTGTTCCGCATAAACGAACAGGCCCCTGGTAAACAATAGTAC